AATATAAACATTATTTTTTTTCGACCAACCTCTCTCGAGATTTTTTACATTTTTTTTAAGTTGTTTTCAAAATTTAATTTCCCAGAAAGAAGTTTGTAACATTGTACGATATTTTAGAAGAGAGAAAAGGAAGAAAATGTGAACACTATAATGTTAATAACTGGTTTTGTAAAATATCACACATTCGTTATTTTTTAGAAAAAAACGTTCTCATTCGTTGCGTATAGGGCTGACCCTAACAGATTGTTGATACTTGTTTTTCTTAGCTACACTGATGCCAACAATATATTTATACTGATTTCAGTTGTTACAGATGACATAAAGAAAAATGTTGACAACAAAATCAAACTAACCGAATTTCAGACTGGTTTTAAAGGAGCAAACGTCAGTGAATTCATGAAAAGGACCAAAAAATTGAAAAGCTAATGTACAGGGTATTATATCTGAAAATATATATACCTTCATTTTGTTTATACTTTTGAAAACCATTCCAACGAAAGAAAAAAATTCTTGAATAACCTTACACATTTTCCTCTGTAGAATTGATTAACAAATATTTTTTAACTATACACATTAATTGTTTCCATAAATGAAAATGTAAACACCTTAGCAATAATTTGTCTAGATATTCGAGTGTATATCATCTCCACTTTTTTACTGTAAAAGATCTTTGTTATAAAAGGTTTATATATTCAAAATAATGTGTGAAAAGTTCATTATTTAGAGATGTATATTAGTGTATTTATTCATAGGCGAACTATGCCATGATAATTATTCATATAAATAAAAAATATATTGCACATACTTAATAGTTGTGTATGTGTTTATTTATTGCAAGGCTGAACACGTAGATTAGGTTTGGATAGATTAGTTCATAAAAATCAACCTAAATTTGTTAAAAGTAAGCAAAAAAAGTGAAATAGTGTTTTCGTAATAATGCGCAATGTAAGAAAAGATTAACATCATCAGGATAACGCAAGTCAATCACTGTCCCTTATTGTATAGGATAAAATGAAAGTGTACATAAAATTTCAACCATCAGTTCAATAGTTTTGGAGATTAATAAAATCTCCAACAGACAGATACGCGACGACAATACGTCCAGAAAATAAAATTCATAAAACAAAAATATAAATATTTTAAATCTTAAAATTTACAAATTTTATACAAAATTTAACAATTGATAGCTAAAAATTACCTAAAAATAAAATTTGAGACATTCAGTATACCAGAATAGACATTACTTGATCAAAGATAAAATTTAGTTTGCTGATATAGGAGATATACACCTAATCTATAATTCTATATTGATACAGTTTCAAATAAAATAAATTATTACTTTCATCAACTGAGATAAAAAATAAAGCATTTGACAGATAAATCATGTTGACTCAAAAATTAAAATTACAAGTTATTATTTCGTCATTAGTGGTGAAACTGAACCATCTAACAAATAACCTCTAATCTATCATATCAGCAAACAACTATTCACAGGTGCTGAATAAATATTGAATTTTGATAAAAATTTTCAATAGCAACATTTACAATGCCAACGATGAATATTTTGTACAATGAACACACAAGACCCACAGCGGTACTACCGCTCCATGCTTGTACAGACAATGTATGCAGGTTATTTACGGACGTTATCACAACATGTGTTTCACACCTGATAACGTATCACTTATTACTAATTACTTCTAATTTGTTCCACCTCCTTTTCGAAGAATTTCAACTAAAGCCTCTGATTATAGTTCACTACACGTATTTCAACAAGTGAAGTCGAGGAATTCAGAAAACGAGGAGCCATTAATTGTCACACACGTTAATGATTATAGCACCGCCACACCCAAACAAGGCTTTTATAGTATGCAAGGGACAATCGGCTGCCGGAAAGAGGAAAACATTGTTTACAGAGACACAATGTAGCATCCTCGCATCTTTTTTTGTTTAATTGTTTATTTAAATTGTGGGTCGCTGACTAACCGTTCGTTATTGGCATGTCTGGAACGTTTTTTCACTTTGTTGAGTAATGTAAGGTTTCTTTCTGGTTATGAGATGACTCATTTGAAATGTAGACGAGGTACTACCTGTTAATGGTATGTAATTATTAACATTTTATTCGAAATGGGAACACTTTTATGACGGAGTGAGTGTCAAAGATGAGTCAATGATTTATAGAATGACTCACAACAGAGTTTAATTGATAATAATGAGTTACTGATAAAACCACAACGCTTGTCGTCTATGGAATATATTTAAAAAATACCAGGCAATAGGTCCTTGTTGCTAAATGTTTCCTAGAATAAACGTACCTACATATTTTGTCATTTTCCAAGAGTTGAAAACTTTAGTCATAGTTACGGTTATACGTTTTCTGCAACATAATGGTAATAATGTTAACGAAGTTGGATTCTTATCTTTCATTTATTGGCCATTAAAGTATAGTTAAATTAATATATGTCTACTAATTTTTCAACAAACGAATGTCAAAACTTCTTTTAATGTCGGGAAGTTATCAAATCCACTGTGTAATTCGTAATACGTAATTAATTTTATGGGACTTCCGTTATGAAAATAAACTTTCAATTAAACATGACTTGGTAAACCGTTTTATGTTCAAGAAGTTGTAAGTTTTGAGCTCTTTTGAAGGGTTTAAATAATAATTGGCAACAATAAATGGGACCTGAGACATGGTTGAATTTCTGCCGCAAAGCAAATGCAAGATCAAACAAGTTTGAGTTTCAAGAGTCAATTAAGAAAAAACAACATGTAAACACTAACCGTAAACGTATATTTCTATAGCTCTTTTAAGAATGTAAACATAAATAAACTGCCCGTTACAATATTTACATGTTTTAATGTTATTATTTTGGATTAGTAAAAAAATATGAATTAAGTTTCTTAAAAATGCCACTGTAAGTTGTAGATTTAAACTGATACTGATGCAAATCATCAAACAAGGCAAAGCACCAATTTTACAGTAAAACATATATTTGATATCAAATAAAAAAAATTAAAATTTCTAAATTGCGAAAGAAGTAAATTTATTGTGACACTTCTTTTAATTTAAAAATTAATAATTGAAAACACTATGATCTATAGGGTTGTCCATCTAATGGATTTTTTTACCGTTGAAACTACGAGTTAGCTGCTCACTTCGAGTACCTTCAAAGTACTGGGTGTTTCATTTATGACTTAACCCCATTTCTAACATTTTGTATTTATATCTACACTCTATGTATTATTTAACCAAAAAACACCTTATTGAAAAATTTGGGAACAAATTTATGTAGAATTTAGTAGGATCTGTAATGTTTTGTACAAAAATTCTAGTGGTAAACAAGTTAGATTTCTTGAACAATATTTATGAACCTCAGAAAGTGTCACTTTTTGGAAAATTGAAATGGCCATTATGCAAATTATTGATAGAACTGTGAAGTAGTATGAATATTATAACAACCAAAATGAGTTTAATTTCACAAAGACAGCAGGCAAATGTGGTTCGAAAAACTGGCTAAATTTATACTGTGTACAGTACAAAATCAATTTTTTTTGTTTTTCAAAGTTGTCCGAATGTTTAGTTTTAAAGTAGTAGCAATATTTTTGTTTCAAATTACAGCAGTCTATCTTCATAAATAAAAAACAGCTAGAAAGAACAGTGCAGTCTTAAGTGAAATATCTCGTTTATTTATTTGGTTTTCAACTTATATTGAATATACGTTTAAACTAACAGTCGTAATACGATTAATATTGTAGAAAACGTTAGTTCTGGAAGTTTTTTCTACACCAATGAAAATAACTACATAGTATTCTTATGTGTATGCGAGAGCATATACCTACTATTTAGACGAAGTATAAGTTTTAAAGATAAGTACATTACGACTACGAGTTATACATAAAAGAAAATCAACATTTCGATAGAGTTTAACTAAATGTTCTGCTAAGTAAATACATGAACTGCTTAAAAGGATGAGTCAGATAGATTGCATTATACAGCACATGTTCAACAAAGGATAAAATATTTAATTACATAATTTCATTGCCAACACAGAGTTATCACTGCTGACTTATCGGTTATATCTAAAATTCAATCTAACAGCAAAATGAGTAATATTTAGTAATAACTAGACATTTAAGCAGAAGCTTAATTCTGATGTGTATAGTCAGTCAGTTGTCACTTTCAAATTTAAGAAAGTTGAGTCTAAAATAAAATTAATGGTAAAACGTGGTACGTGTGTAAATATTACAAGTTTTGCGTCACTAACACAATTAGAACTAATGACAGCAATTTCAACAAAATCGGAATAAAGTTCGTAGAATGTTTGCAAAAATTTCTAAACTATTAGTCACTGAAAATATCAGAAAAATTGGGAATTCTGATAGTCGTCAACTGTTATCTGATTGAGCAGAATAATAAATTAATGAACAGCGGTTTATCGCAAGGTAAACATAAAAATTGTCACGAATCAATACAGGTTAGTGCTAGATGATTGACTAATAAAACTAACACAACTTAACAAAATTGATGACGTTATTCTGTTTTAAAAATCTCGAGTTCGAATTATTATACATTATTTTCATGTTTTTGATACAATTTTTGTACTTGTTTCTTTCATTAATCTTTGAAATTTCCAAAGATTGTAGTCGCACTTTTCTTATTACGCATCGTTAATATTTACTGATTTCGTAAGCTATGAAACAGATACCTAATTACCTTATCTTTACGAATGTGTTTTATCAATGATACTCTTTTCATTTAGTAAATAGTCAGATAACCCCTTTGTTACCAAAAAAGGATTGTAAATTTACTTAGACACAAAAGGTACCACCATTATTCAATGGGATTGTTTGATCGATAACTTTCAATAGTTCGTGAAAGCCTATGATTTTCCTTTTATTGAGTAACTGTGCTATAACAGCCACACCATAATACGAGCAATAAAACCAAAAAACATAATTTGATAAAAATGTTACACTATTCGAAGAAAAACACTTACCACGGCAGTCAAAACTCCTCGAACGGTAATTCCAACCTGTGGTTCAACATAAATCGTAACTCCTGGTTCAATAACTAATTCTGCGTTCCTTTCAACAATGATGTCACTTCTTAACCAGTACGGACTTTTCAATTTTGAAAACACTAGCTTATCATTAACAATAGTACCACCAGGATGCTCAGTCCTAGTCCCCCTCGTACTCTCCGTACTCTCAAAATAGAGTCCTGTTTCTTGCAGCAGACCCTCATTGATGATTAAAAAAAGACATAACGTCCTCAAAAAATTAAACATTGTTCCGCAGGCCACTCACAAGCATCACTCTTCCCAAACGGCACTCGACTTCGGAAAAAAAATAATAACCGTTAAGACACTGTTTACTCACGACGAACTTTAACTCTGCTCACTTTCTTTTAACTTATTTATGTCGAAATAGTCGCACTACTCGCACGTACGATTCAATCGATTAATCGAATATGATAAAGACACTTAAACTCGCGCTGTTGCAACTAAAATTTTTATTTTCTCACGTCAACTGCCGCGGACAAAGCTTTTAATTTTTGAGATGCGTTTTTTAACGAACAAGAGGGACGGTAGGCGCGGTTTGACTTGTTTTTTACGTAAAGAATCTAGTCACGTGACCAGGTGAACCCCCACTCACCTGTGCAGGTATAACAGGTGTGACTGTATTTCGACGTTCCGATAGATAGCGCTTTGCCAACTGTTTACCACGGTGGATGGGTTCTGACTGTGATGAGCTTTTCGTTGCATTTCAAGGAATACGTTGACCATAATTACGCGTAGGACGCCAATTAAGGCGGCAGTTCACCTTACTACTGCAGCCATTTCAGTCTAGATGCAGCTGACCCTTATTATGGAGAGGTTCGTCGTGGATTTTCACCGTAAACTGTAATTTAGAGAAAATTGCTAAATCGTGGGTTTGCAGTGTCTTTTGTCGTTTGCGGTAAACATCGAAGATGATTAACGAAACTGCCAGTCTCTAGGTAAATGTGAATGCAGTTATCTGAGCAAATTGTGTTTGCGTTCTCTATCTAAAAATTTGTTTCTTTCACGTTTATTTAAAAAACTAGCTTTAGACCTTATTGTATGACTGCAATTTATGCACCCTGATCAGTAAACAATGCTCACATTTAAGCCATTTTTCAAATTATTAGGTACAATTTTAAAACGTTAATTTATCGAAGGGCATTGATCAAAGAATAGAAAAACGACCAAATATAAATTATAAAATTTACCTATATGTTACTGGAAATGATAATTATATCGGAGAAATGAATTGTTGTTTTATTGGTTGCCTGTATTTCGGTGAAAAAAGCAATTAATATGAATGTACTATACACAGTCAGGTCGATATTTCAAATAGGAAACTTAAATTGTCTTTATTTTTTTTTAATTCCCGAGTAGCAGGTTATGGCTCGATCATTTTGCCGAATGTCTAAGCAATGTTCTTCTTGTGTCTTGTAGTTCACGCATACAATAATGCAGATTTGTCGTTTGCAACTGTTTGTGTTCCTTACGTGTGTCATTTTTTATTATCTGAGAACGGATAGAGATATTGAAATTCTGTAAACGCCATTGTTTTTAGATTGAAGGGGAAGATGGAAATATTGTTAATTGCCACTTTCATGTTTTCTTGACTTTTCATAACTCCTAGAGGTCGAATAAAAAGTGCTCTCCCGTTTTCGTCTGTCTATCGTCTCTGTCGATCGATTTTTCTTAGACAGATAAAATCCGAAACTACCGGACGATTGTTGACTTCATATCAAATAATTCTAATTTAAAATGATGTAAATGGTATATAATAATATAGGTACTCCGGCCAAATTTTCGCAAAAAATTAACAGAGTACAATAACGTTTTACCAGTAAACACAGAATGTAAACGTTAGTGGCCTCTATATCGGCACGCGGACCTGCTGGTCGCAACCAAACTTGGCTGTTGTTCCATTGTCGTTTATTTAATGAAATTTGTCCTGTCCTCTCTTTTGAAAATAATCAGATTTTATTTCTTTTTAAGGCAGATACTTGTCATCGAAACGCACTAATAGTGAATTCTTTCGAAGTATAAAGGTGGATATGACTTATTGCACTTCAGGGGCGAGGAAAGTTCTATCGAAATAACTACCATTTTATTTTCTCTTGCACTGGTGATGTGCTGTGACTAGTAGTATTATCCATGTTGATGCCGTCATCACAAAATTTTGTTCTGGAAAAACTCGCTTGAAACATACGTATAACATGCTCCTTTGTTTTAACAATAGCTAATCGTCGAGTTCTTTAGAAGTACAAACATAACACTCGAAGTGAAGCATGTTATTGTTACTGAAAGGACACGTTTGTTATCTGCTTTAAATATATTTTACACTGTCAATTCCGTACTTGTGCGGACTGCGTCCCCGTGGAATTTACGCGATGTCATTTATACCGCTGGTTTTCAGTTTATAAAGATCATCACAAACAAATTTATAAAAAAAAAATCGTTTAAAGAGTTTTCGCTTATTTACCAGCAACAAAGTAAATAGGCAACGACGTTTTCAACTTTTAAGCTCCCTGTGCTCAGTGCTATAAAAGTAAACTTCACTTCGAACAAGTGTTAGCTAACTAGTTAACTTTTATAACTACCAAATAAAACTTCATACTCAAGTTTTCTCATTTTCTTATATTTTCTATTAAAACTCAATAATTAAAGTTTATATAGTGCATCCAGGAAAGTTTAATTTTTTTGATACTGGAATTATTTTTTCGATGTAATTAATTTTCTTCTCGCTAGAATAATAAGAAAAGAATAGTACTTATAAACGGATGAAAATTTTTAGAATACATAAAAAAGATCGCGAAAAAGACAATAAAATATTAGCAGTCGAATATAATTTATCGAGAATAATTCTTCCAGACATCAAACGAATTATAACCTCATACCGATTTATGGAAAATATGCGTTTATCTGAGCCTAATCCACGTACAAGGGGTTTTTATATCTCAGGGATGTTTTATGGCAGAGCACGTAAATCTCCTACCGTACCATAAAATTTTAATTTCTGAAAAAATCGACAATATAAACTCAGGGTTTTTTTTATTACAAGTAAGAATAATAACATCTTGAACTCATTTCAATAAAACTCAAAACGCTTTTTTATTTCTGTTACAGCATCCTGGACATTAATTTTAAAATGAATAAATAATTATGTATTAGTTAATCGAAAATAACAATAAACAATTTCAAGCATCATCCATAAGATTTAACGGCGAAATGGTTACAATTATTTATTAAAGATGTTCAATGGTCTTGAAAAAAAAGATCAAACAAAAGTTATATGAAACAAAATGATTGTGATTTAGTGTTTAGTTTAAAAAAATTATAACTCGTATATACGTTAATATGTTGCAAAAGCAATAGTACAAACGGCCTGATTCTTTCTCTTTCAGTCTTCTTTGTCCTCGGCTTTACCCTACTTATTTGAGGTTTGCTCTTCTGGTTATTTTTCTGCAGTTTGGGGCGTTGTTCCTGTTTCGGCGTGTTTTAAATCTATCAAAACTACTGGCATACATGTGGGATCTATGGGTAATCTCCAGGAATGTCATGTGTCCGTTGGTCCCTCACGGCGTGATGATACCACCGTAGTCGACTTTCAGTGATTTTATTCCTCGGATAGATCTCACCTTGTGTAATTCTTCCTCTTTCAATATTATTAAATATATTTTAACAAATAATCAAAAATAGAAAACAGTTTTTTTTTCGTAAGTACTACAACCCATCATTTGACTACTTATTTATTTTAGACAGGAGTAACAAATCTCCCGTTTCGATATTGTATATTAGGAATAGTAGAACCTATCTTCTAAGGCTATAAACCATTTGCACACGTTTAAAGATTGAAGGCTAACAGATTCGCCTTCAGATTTCTGCAAATGTTCTTACCCGATAATTTTAACAAAACAAAGCGCAGTCCAAGATACATATTTTCCTTTATTGTAATAAATTTGTTGAAACTCAAACAGTTGGATCTACACTCAGTTTGCACAAAAAGTACAATTAATTGAGTATATACTTTTTTTTCTTTTTATACTAAAATTTCCAAGTTCGTCCTTCCATCTCCTGGCAGATAGCAAGCCGCAAGCGCAATATATTTAAATTTTTACAAGCATTGCGGTCTCTTCTCAATGGAATAAATTGTTGGCTCTTACCCAAAAGAGCCGATTTTACTGCTGTTATATAACCTTAGAAGGTATGTTTTACTATACTAGCTGTTGCCAGCAGCTCATCTTGCGAACTTTAATCCCTTATTTTACCCTTTTAGGGGTGGAATTTCTAAAGTATCTTTCTTAGCGGGTGGTTACATTGCAAAAAGAACCTACTGTCCAAACTTCATGCTGCGTTGATGAATCGGTCAGTGTGTCAGTCAGGATGAGGATAAACACTTCTGTTTATATAGATAGAATATTTTTGTAGTACATAGTATAGTGTCTCAAATACTACAAGGTTATATGGCAGTTGTAAAATTATGGTATTGTGCAGACGACAATGGAGCACTTAATAAAGCAAACCCACAGTTGTAAAATATATTTGTGTTGGGTTAATGTACCAAAAATGTTTAAGCGGATTAACCAGCAGTAGATATTAAGGTGGTAAGATATTGAGACAAATTCCTGATTCATGATGCTAGGATTGAGCCGGTAATCAGCCGCACAAAATAAATTATAACATCCCATTATTAAGTTTAGTGGAGGCATATAACCTTGTAGTACCTACATCATAGTTAACCAGACTAATGATAAACGTTGAAAAGTAACTGTGTGTTCAAATCCCCGATTGAGAACCACAGATTATTTTTTGATCCTTTAAGCTTACTCGTACAGAGGATCGCCAACGCGAATTAAGGTACCTATTCAACAACGATCCACCAAGGATTGGTTGGTGCTACTTTTTGTCTATTACAGCATAGCAGCAGCTTTAAATTAAGTAATGTTAATTTCTGAATAAAAAATGAAACAAGTGTATAGAGATACTTGAATTAAAAAAATGCCTTTAACAGAGTTTCAAAAACAGATTATTGAACAAAGACTTGTCTCTAAGATATATTTTTGAAGAATTACATGTCAGCAAAAGCACAATTTTGTTAGCGAAAAAAAAAATGAAAATTTCGGGTAAATTACACGCACACCAGGTACGGGTCGCCCAAAAATTACTACCGAAGACGAAGATCTCTTACTGGCTGATTTTCTCCGTGGATCTCTCACTGGCTGATTTTCTCTGTGAGAATTCTTTTGAATCAGTGGTTAGAGCAAGGCAGGAAACACATTTCCCCGCATCTTCAAAAACCGTGCGAAGACGAATGAGGTTGAATGAGTTACGGAATAGAGCTGTGACAAGAAAGATTTATCTTACAGATGCAAACAAAAAGCAAAGGTTAAAATTTGCCATGCAATTTGTAAATCAACCGCTCAATATGTGGGAAACTGTGGTATTTTCTCATGAAAAGACATTTCAGTCCCGTAGTAATGGTCAAATCCGTGTTTACCGGCCAGCTGGGACACGGTATGAAGAACAATATGCTCATAGATCTAACCAGAGTGGTCGGTTTTCAATAAATTTTTGGGGGTGGAGAATGTTTAGTCGTTTAGGATCGCTTAAATGCAATAGTGTACCGCAGAATTTTTGAAGAAGTAAGCTGCCATAAGTTTTACCAATGTTTCAAAACCAGAACTTCATACATCAAGATTGTTCATTATTTATTGCTAACTTTGCTTTTTTATGGCCAAATTTATTTATACACATGATTTTAGCCCACAAAATATTGGCGAGTTACAAGAAAAGGTTGTAACCGCTTGACAAAATATAACGTCTGAATTTACCGGACAATTAGTTCAATCGCCTCGCAAACTGCAAAATGTGATACACGCAAACGGTGGAATAACAAAATATTAATTGTTTATTTATTAAAATATTGTTAATTAGTACAATGTTTCTAAAAATAAAAATTTAGGTGCTGTTGAGATGATTCGGGTTTGACTAATTAATGGTCATTAATAAAAGAGCCCAAAGACTTTTTTCGCAAATTCAACCGAAGATATTCTCGGCTTTCTCGTTTAATCATGCGACAAACCACTAGAAAATCATCAAATCCACGTCAAAAATACCGATTTACTCCAGATTTTTATGACAGTTTTGTACCAATTTTATATGTCCAACGTTTGTACCTGTCAAGGTCACCCTTTTCCTCCATTCGGTGAGTTTTCTAATCGGACCTTTTGATCAAAAAAATTACTTCCAATTTCAATTAAATTTCAGGAGAAGTTTTACAGTTTTTGACTTGTTTCGATTCTGCATCGTCAGACAGACAGACAGACGGGCGAACGGAAACGGAGACCTATTTCTTCGTGGTCTAAGTGTCATGAAAGGTCGAGAAAACATAAACGTAGGAAGTCGGCCGATGGACTCGATTACAATACTTCCTTAGCTTAGGCTCAGGAAGTAAAAATCAAGACGGATTCATAAAAACTATCGGTGTAGAAGTATATTATTATTATTTTTTTATAAAATTGAAATAAAGTTTATTATGTAAAATTTTGAAGTGACGTCATGACATTTAAGTGATGTACAATAGTATAGTCCTTTACTTATGGTGTATGACTCCGTTTTAAGTTTGGGGTGGTGATCACACGTCAGCACTTGGACTTGCAGTTGCGCCTTCGAATCCGAACATAGCCCTTTCTTTATTTTCTCTTACACTGTGACTAATATTATCTATATTATTTTTAGGGTATAAAGGTTATCACAAAAAAGTCAAATTTCGCATAAACAAATTTTATTATTTTTCACAAAAGTAGGATTTGTTAGAGTGTACTTCACAGGCGAGAGAAGTTCTGTCGAAGTAACCTTTGACCATTTTTTTTTAATGCAAGTACACCTAGGGCCGGTTTATAGAACAGCGAATTAATCGCGAATTAACTTTAACTTCGCTTTCTGTAAATTGGGTCCTAATGTTGTAAATTATATGTGATGGATATGGCAGAAAATACGGCTTTAATAACCTAGAACGAACAACTTGTATCTTGCACTAACAAACTGAAACTTGTTTATACCTGTATTCCCAACATATGGTTTAGTGAAATGTTTTCGGTGTACTTTAATTTATGCACTTTGGACGAGTTTGTTAGGAACATCAGGTACATTTTTTTGTCGGTGTGCTTCCAGTGGTACCAACTGACTTCACGTAAAGCATCAAACATGTCCTGCCACTGTAAATCCCGATTTCCTGAATTTGTAAAAGTACTTCTGTGCGTTAACTTACCATATCTTCGATTCTTTGTCCACTAACCACAAAGCCAACCAGTATTGCAGATACTAGAACGCTGAGAGCTGCAATCCGAAAATATTGATCTGCCAAAGAACCTTCAAACTAGTATTTTTATATTAGATATTTTAACCTTTGTGTAATTAGTACCGCGAAACAAAACACGACGAAACTGGCGGTTACAGTAGTACCGATAACTTGGTATGGTAGAACATACACTCCTGCGAGTTGTAAAACCTTTTGACCATACCTACAAAACTCTTTGCTTTTACGAATAAAATTTTCTGTAGCTTACATGACAAAATGAATGTGATTTTTCACGCAAAACAGCAGACTTTTGTTGACGATCTGTTGGTACTCCACACAAGTAGAACTTATGTGCTCGACTTTGGTATAGTTTGCGTTAATATTTTGCAAGTAGTGTATTATCATAAGCTTTTGCAAATTGGCGTGCCCATAGTAATACAAAATTGAGAATCCTGGAGTACTTACACCCATATAGGTTAACACAAAAACGATAGGTTTCATGAAAAGTTCAAAAAAAAATTCCAACTGTGGAACATATGTGTTCACAAGGTTAAAAAAGAAGATGAACTCCTTGTCTTGTGACGTTGGTATCATGTACGACACAGACACCACCAAGGTGAAAACTACGACCACAAGTATGTACAGCGTGACGAAAAACCACGTTCGCTTGACTTTTTCTGTAATTTCTGCAGGTGCTTCTTCGAGTTTCCATATTTGAATTTCCTGAAGATATGTCTTAATGATGCTGGTTGTGTATTTCTGACAAAAAACACAAACCAACTCCTGAAAAAAAAAGTTCTAAGGCGGTACTCACTTGAAGTTTGTGTTTTACGTATAATGTGAGGAAGTACAACGGGCCGTACTGGACGAAATAATTCAACTCAAATTTTTTCAGAAACAAGTAAAGTTGGAGCAGAACCAGAGGTGTTATAACCATTTTAATGCAAAAAAGAAAGAGCTTGAACATTTTTACTTGAAAAATGTCTATGGTGAAAAAGCGACACAAATTCACGCAAAGCTGGACTAAAAAATATATGAATATGATGGAAATGGGGAGAAAAGGAAATGTTACCTGCCATCGCGATCAGACTGAACAATTCTTTGTACCCGTTGTGTTTTACAAAGATATTACAAAAAATTATGAACATCAATTGCGCTGTCGCTCGTAAAAGGATGATTAAAAATCAATACAGAAAATGAGCTTTAATTTTAGGATAATATCGGCCACGTAAGTCTCAAGGAAAGTTTATCTATTAAAAATAGAATGTTGTTTTTTCATCTTGCTGGAAAAAGCGCCATTTGAATTGAATAAATTTTGTTTCTTGATTAATGATTGATCATTTGGTGTTCTTTTACTTATAACTGCCAAAAAATAAAAACTCATTGAATGAGATATTCATCTATTTAACATTAAATACCAAAAATATGTATAATATAATACTTACAATACTGCCGGGAATGTAAAAAGTCAGAAAAAGTCTTTTCAGGTAGGTTATCAGTAAACAGGTTTAAGACATCCGGCTGTAACGACCTGTTGAATTATAATGGGAGGTAAATTGGTGTGAAGCCATAAAAGCACTAAATGTTTGCGTCTAGTATAACAGAGTATGTTTTCGCTATATTTGATTTTATACATTTTGAACGCCTATGTTAGAAAAAACAGGTAGATTGTTTTGTTAGTTTGTTCCAGTGGTACCAGTCGACTCACGTTGTTCTACCAATATGTTTGTCAGCGTGCTATTGGTCGTGGTGATAATTACATTTCATGTAGACAATGTTATAACAACTTTCACTTATCGTGCGTTAGTCTCACGGTTGAGACCTTCAATTTAATGCAGAAGGAAGGGATTCTTGCACGCTGGGCTTGCAAGTCCTGTAAAGAGAAAATATCTTTTTCAGCTGGTACTATTGCTTCTGACGTTACTTTTGTTGATAAAAAAATAAAGTTACCATTGCTCCAGAAACTATTAATCTGCCTGCTGACCAGCTTACGAATATTGTACAATCCGTTGTACAAAGCTTGCACTTTTTGAACATGGTATGGATGTCGGGCTTGCTCTTTTAATGTACGATGCACTACAAACTGTGAAACTCCAACTTCAGCTGCAAGTCGGCGAGTGCTGATGTGGGGCTCTTCTTCGACTCGTTCCACAATTGTTCATCAGCTGGCAACATTCTTTCGGTTCTATCACGACCACGAGGCTTGGAGGTACCATGACCTCGAAGATGTTGTATACTGTAAATGTTCGCGCAACCTGATGTTTCCATCAGCCACACCATGAAGCATTACCGTGTCCACACGCTTTGAATTGGAAAAAATCACCATTCTCAAAGACGTTAACCGAACACACGATGACAATCAACTGGTACATGACTGTTTTTGCACGTTGCTTATCAGTGTGTCGCTTTTTTTATTCTAAATCATAATCATTCTGTGTCATTGACTGAATTATAGTAGATCAAGAAACACTACGAGTGATGTGTATAACAATTTATACATATTTAATTTCAAACATTTTTTTTCTAGACACTGCTACCCCAATATATAGTTCATAGTATTTTGCATATTTTAAACAAAATTTAGTTGGCAACATTTTGATATGACGTCATCAATTTTTTGGGAGGGGATAAACGGATAAATTTTGGTTTAGCATGCTTGCGATAACCTTAAAACATTTACAAGATTTCAGAGCATTCGGTTTTGCAATTTCAGAGTTAAATTGCAAAATATTGTTACGAAATAAACCCATACGCCGCCCCGATACCACACCTATGGGTTCTCGTGTGTACATCGCCGATGACTCATTGTCGCATGACGGCGGCCGGAGAACAGCCTGGAAGCGGAAGTCGCGAATGGATGCTCCAGAGAAGTCTAGAGGCGGTGACGTAGGCGTTTCGAGAAGGACCCCGTGCTGTTTAAATGAGAACCACCATCGGGAGCAGTCAAAGTAGTCCATAACAACGAGTGTCGAAAAAACCCAGTGAATGTTGCGGCGGAATTATTTTGTACATAGTCGCTGTGTAATCACTCGTGTACATTCGAGTTATTAAGAAATACATTGTTGAGTTTAACCCACGCCGATTTTATTCACCGGTGAACGTAACAATATTGTCATAAATTTTTGATTTTTTAGAAAGAATTGCAAACAACATTGAAACTCGCTGTGATATTAAAAGATTTGGCTTTTAGTATGAGACGATGTAATGTTACAGAATATGAGGAAAGCGTAATCAAGACTATAGAACACTCTGTCACAAAATGTCTGCAGTGTAGTACAAAAATGCTTGGGTCGTCGACTTCATGTGTAAGACAAAGTGTTAGAAGGGAAAGGTTTCTTTAATTGTAATGCAACATAGGTACCTTTCATAAATGAAACTTACGTTTCTTAAATAAAAAGTTTAAATCAGTCTTATTTTTTGTCCTTTTCAACTAAATGTCAAATCTGATCATTTTGGACTAGTGCAAATTAACGGTAAGTTGCACTAATGCAAAATTATCGCTGAAATTCAGTTTGTATTAGTCGTCATGCAGAAATATAAATGATTTGATTGGATCCATTTTTTTCTTTTTGGACAAAATAGTCATTTTCATTTTATCATCTACACAATATTCCTAACATACAGTCAGGGACACGGAATTTCAAACGACAACCAACTTTCTGACATTTAAAAACATTGTAGTCTTATACCTTATTGTCATTATGATTGACAGGTCGTTTGAAATTCCGTGTCCCAGACTGTACATATAAAATTTGACAACAATCGGTCGAGTAGTTTCGGAGATTACCTAAGTTTCTAATAAAAATTGACACAGACAGACGGAGACGCGAGGCGTACTTTTTCGTACTCTTGGGGTCATGAAACGAAAAAAAAAAAATTGTAGAAGCCATTCATCGGACGAACCTCCTACTACAATACATTTTTAGCTTAAGCTTAAGAATTAAAAATACAAAAGTTGTGAAACTGCCACCACGATTAGGAGTTTATCTAGAAACATTTATGCTGCTTTTGAAGATAATCCTTGCAATGACAGTTTTCTTAGTAATAATCTAATAATCACCACAAAGATGTCATATAGAATATTGATTCTGTCACAATAATTAAAATACGGTTACATTATCAAGCGGTAAAAACAAATGACCAGATACGCCATAATTTTTTTATTACTGCTGTTCCAGTGCCCCCTGAAACACCTCCGCCACTGCACTAAGGGGCAATAAACCTCTTACGCCTCACCCCTCTCACCCACGAATCCGCGATATATTGGTAGCAAAGTCAAACTCACACGTTTGGTGTATGGAGGGTACAAAGTGTTCTTCAGTTCTTCATGTGTAGTACCTGGAATATCTTTGATCAAAATACCTGAGAGACTCTAGTGTAAATTGCTAATTTTATAGTACTAAACAATCAATATTAGTAAAATGGAAATTGGTAAAGATCCTCAAGTTATTGTCCTTTATGATGGTTATTCAAAAGACGAAGGTACTTCTATGCTCGCTAATTGTACTTGTACTTTAATAAAAGGTCGGACAAACATAGTAATAGATACAATGACCTCTTGGGATGGAGACAGACTTACAGAAGCATTATACAAGAATGGAATAAATTGCAATCAAATAGAGTTTGTAATATGTACTCATGGGCATTCTGATCACATTGGATGCAACTATTTGTTTCCCAAAGCAGTTCACATTGTAGGTTTTTGTATTTCTCAACAATATACATATTTTTATCATGATTTTCAATCAGGAAAAGAATATGTTATTAATGACAAGGTGAAAGTTGTTCCTACACCAGGGCACACTCTACAAGATGTTTCTGTAATTGTCGAGACTGATGATGGCGTAGTGGCCATTACTGGTGATTTGTTTGAAAAAGAAGAAGACTTGCGTGATGACAGTATATGGAAGTCTGCAGGAAGTGATTCACAGGAATTGCAAATAATTAATAGAAAGAAAATTTTGGATATTGCAGATTACATTGTTCCAGGGCATGGCCCAATGTTTAAAGTGCATAAGTAGTTTTCTCATATTTATACTAATAAAATTGAACTGGATTTCTCCTTTGAGCGTTTTTTTGTTGCTATTTTAATTCAGTTAAACCAGACTTTCTGAATTTTTTATTACTAATCACGCAATTACCTAACTTTCTAGAATATGAAACATTTTATTTTAAATATATATTTTTTAAAGGAATATTTCGTTTCAACTAAAGTACGGTATTACTAAAAATAAACGAAAACACAATGAAAGAGTACAAATAAATCAATCATTTACTTAAGAACTACACATTTCACATGCTCCAGGATTCTGTATCGAGCACACGAGAGCGGCTTCTTCCTGTGGAGTAAGCTTTCGGCCATCTTCCTTTTCTTTGACACCATTACTAACACCATTTTCTTGGCGGGTAACCAACTTGCTTTTATCCACAGTGAACTGAATGGGGTTGGCTGCTGGTTTTGTTCTCAAGTAATACATTCCAGTTTTCAAACCCTTCTTCCATCCATAAAAGTGCATGGACGTTATTTTCTGATAATCCGGCGACGCTATATGAATATTCATAGATTGGCTCTGATCAATAAATGCACCTCTATCTGCAGCCATATCAATAATAACTTTCTGGGAAATTTCCCAAACGGTTTTATAAATCGTCTTCAGATCGTCGGGAATTCCAGGAATGTTTTGAACTGAACCGTAGTTCGCAATGATTTGATTTTTCATGTCGTCGTTCCAAAGGCCCCTTTTGGTTAAGTCTTTGAGTAGGTGTTGATTAACGACTTGTAGTTCGCCAGATAGAACACGTCTCACGTACATGTTGGAAGTGTAAGGCTCAGTAGATTCGTTGTTACCCAAGATTTGGGCAGTAGAAGCTGTAGGCATTGGAGCTAAAAGTAATGAATTGCGAATTCCGTGTTTAGCTAATTTTTGTTTTAAGGAAGACCAATCCCAAAGATTTGTTGGAGTAACATTCCACATGTCATACTGTAAGATGCCTTTGCTGACTGGTGATCCTTCATACGTTGTATATGGACCGTCTTTTTCTGCAATTTCTGAACTCGCCTCCAGCGCTCCATAGTACAACGTCTCAAATATTTGTTTGTTAAGTAGACGAGCTTCATTACTATCAAAGGGTAAGCGTAAAAGTATAAAAGCGTCTGCTAAACCCTGAACGCCGATTCCTATTGGTCTATGGCGCATATTCGAATTTCTAGCTTCTGGCAGTGGATAATAATTAACGTCGATGATCTTATTGAGATTCTTGGTTACTACTTTCACTACTTCCTTTAATTTCTCAAAATCATATCCATCTCTCTCTGGATTAACAAACATGTTTACTGCAATAGACGCCAAGTTACAAACAGCGATTTCATCTTTAGAAGTATATTCGACGATTTCTGTGCATAAGTTGCTGCTTCTGATTGTTCCAAGATTTTGTTGGTTGCTCTTTCTGTTACAAGCGTCTTTGTACAACATGTACGGCGTTCCTGTTTCTACCTGTGATGCGTAAATCGCACGCCATACGTCACGTGCTGGTAACTGCCTAACATAACGACCTTCAGCTTCATATTTTTCATACAACTTTTCAAATTCCTCTCCCCAACAATCCGCAAGACCCGGCGATTGATAAGGACACATCAAAGACCAGTTTTCGTTGGCGTCCACTCTCTTCATAAAGAGATCAGGAGTCCACAAAGCATAGAACAAATCACGGGCTCGCTCATCCTCCCTTCCTGTGTTTTTCTTCAAATTCAAAAAATCCATAATGTCCGCATGCCAAGGTTCTAGATAAATAGCACAAGCTCCTGGACGTTTATTACCGCCTTGGTCTACATATCGCGCAGAATTATTTAATACTTTAAGCAATGGCACCAACCCTTTAGATAGTTTTTCATTCTTACTATTCTTAAACTGTGTTCCTTTGGCCCTGATATTATGCACGCTGACGCCTAAACCACCCGCTGTTTTGGAAATTTTGGCACATTGTATAAGGCACTGGTAAATGCCATCCAGATTATCCTCTGGCATAGTTACCAAGAAACAGGAGGACAATTGCGGTCTTGGAGTACCAGCAGCGAACATTGTGGGGCTTGCATGGGTGAAGTATCTCTCTGACATGTAATTGTAGGTTTCAATAGCGGCCTCTATGTCTTTGCAGTGAATACCAACGGCTACTCGCATTAACATGTGTTGTGGGCGTTCAGCAATTTTGCCGTTTATTTTTAACAAATATGAACGTTCCAAGGTTTTGAAACCAAAGTAGTTGTATGAGAAATCTCGGTCGTAAATAATGCAAGAGTTTAGACGGTCGGCATTTTTCATAACGACAGCATGAACTTCCTCAGAAATCATCGGGGTTTTTCGGCCGGTTTTATTGCTGACAGCGTTATAAAGATCATCAATTACATCTGTTAAAAAAAGAAACAATTCATAACAATATTAACGTTGTCTACATTAAAAAACAGTCATTGATGTTAAATGTGAAAAACCACTATGAAAATTTTTGTTTTTAATTTTCTGCATAACATAAACTACGCTGACATAGTATTATGATAAAAATTAAAAACTGCGTGTACAAATTTGAGTGTAATTGTGTAATTTTGTTCTTGATTTTAGTACAATAATTGTCTAATTATTTAGAAATAATCAGACAAAGTGATCATTTTTAGTATGCGTATCCTTAAGATGATCAAAAATTGTTTTTTATGATATTTCATCAAACACAAACATGTTATAACAAGTAAAAGATAAACATTAGTATATGTACAATATTTTGCAAGAGTTGATTCTACAATAAAAAGTAAATAAAAAAATGAGTCCAAGATAAGGAATGACTCACTTCCTTCATACAACTTACCACTAAACTGTTTCTTTGTTTCTTTATGAAGATTTGATAAAGCAATTCGAGCTGCAAGAATTGCATAATCTGGATGATGGGTGGTCATCATAGCTGCTGTTTCGGCAGCTAAAGTATCCAACTCAACGCTCGTGATACCTGGATATAAACCGCTGATAACTTTTAATGTAATGGAGACCTAAAACCGCTTCGATTGCATTAAATGAAACAATATTATGGTACGGTCTTACGGGATCCACATAGTCCATATTTAAGCCGTAACATAATTTTTGAATGCGAGAAGTAATTTTATCAAGATAAACTTCTTCTCTTCGGCCGTCTAAAAAAATAGAGAGAAATAATTGTGTATTATAACCTTAAAATTGAAAAACTTACCTCGTTTACAGACGTAATTTTTAGTTGGAGTATTCACCATGGTGCTCTTTAGCGTCATACTCACAACTTACAAAAAAAAAATAATTAAAGCTTACATAAATTCGAGAATGGAACAAAGCAACTGTTAGACAGTGTTTACGAGTTTTCCCGCCAAATTTAATTAAAAGCGTCGAAAATCGAAATGTCAACCTCCAATGGTGGTCTGGATAGTGGCGCACTCTGGAAACATTTGCGCAAAAGCGACAGGACCGTATTAACATTATTCAGGTTCGAAAAAATATCGGTTAAAAATTGTAAAAATGTACTTGGAAATAAAGTCTTCCAAAAAATTGGGATATATAATATTGCAAAAATATAATTTACTTGGAAAGATTTATATGTTTCTAGAACAAGGGTATGCATTAAAAAACATCAGTGAGCGTGTTGAGATGAAAAAATACAATTAGAAAAACTTACTAAGAATGTGTAAGATTTTATTAATTTCTGCAAGAAATGTTAATAACTCTAATTAGAGCTGCTTTACAGAAACTTAATTAAATATTTGACGTCGCTAAACCCTTCGTTAAATGCGTAATTAACTTAATCTTAGTTAAAATATTGTAGAAATTAATTGAATTCGAGTGTATGTCAAATCCTCTGATAATAACAAAATATGTAATTATGATCTAATTGATACTATGACAACCCAAACATTCCGCCAAAAATTGGCATGTGAACAAAGTTAAAAGAAAACGCGAACATTTGAAAAGAGGCCACGAACATTAATCGTCAATAAGATGGGGACCCTGCGTTGTGTTTTGGAATGGCGGAATGTGTGGTGAACTGCAAAGGTGGAAAAGTGACCTTGAATTTACGACACAAAAATTTGGTGTGAATAATTTTATTAATCTCTTTCAAAATGCGATGAAATTTCGATCACATAAACACAACGTGTTAACTATACTGTTTTGGAAATTTCATTCTACCCTATAAAATTTTATTGACAATAACGAGACGGACAGTAATACAATGGTAAGAAATATTTATGGCTTACACCATGGTACAAGAAGACATGGTATGATATTGCGAATTTTGTGTGACGTCATGTGGCTGTCATAACCGCCAACTTTAAATTCTACCTTGTTGCATGTTCGTAGTATCACCATCAAGGAACGATCCCAAATTCTGAACACATATTATTAACTTATTAGCATCTGATTTCAGCTTAGCACATTCGAAGATAAGTTAACCCATGATTAAAAACTTGTGGCGTTGCTGTGATGTTGATGTAGGCAACACAACGCACACGTACTACTTCCTCTCGCCTACGAGTAGGCAACTCAATATGCTCACCGAACACCACTCGTGATTGGTGAACCTGGCGCCGACGCAGAGACCAACTGGGGACACAAGGAGGCGCGAGTACGGCAAGTACTCTCTTCTGCCGCCGACATCGAAACGAAGAAGACTGGCATCGTCTCCTGTTCCACGTGTAAGATATTCGAATGTGTAAATAAACTATAGAGAAACCCTACCTGGTGTTAGTCATTTCCACATTGGTGACCCCGGAAAGAAAATAGGAAGAGCTAGCACCATGGAAGAAATGCAAAAGAAACTGCAGGAACAACAAGAAGTAATTTGCCAGTTCCAGACACAACTGGCTACCATCTCCAACAAACAAGCCCTTGATGAGGTAAGAAGTGGTTCAAATCTGAAGCTACCGACATTCTGGCAGCGAGACACGGTGCTTTGGTTTGCACAAGTCGAAGCCCAATTTAATTGCGCGAGAATCAGGTCCGACCAGACCAAGTACTGGACCGTAGTAACCGCCTTAGACTGCGCGACGCTCCAACCGGTTGCCGATTTGGTCGCCAACCCCCCAACAGAAGAGACAAAGTACGAAAGCATAAAATCCAGATTGATCGCCGCCTATGCAGACACCCCCGAAAAACGACTACGGAAGCTCATGTACGAAATAGAGTTAGAGGACAAGCAGCCGTCACAACTACTAAGAGAAATGGAAGCCCTAGCGGGTAAGGGGATCAGCGGTGACGTCCTCAAGACTCTGTGGTTGCAGCGTTTACCCCCACAACTACAGATGATCCTCGCCGCAAACGATAAAGAAACGCTGGACAAAATGGCGACCATAGCGGACAAATTGACCGAAATCCACCATACCAGCGCCATCACAGCAAATATTGGTGCCCTAAATCGCGGTACCTCCGCGCACGCCTCTCAAACCGTTACACCGGCGCAAGAAGATGGAATGGCTGCCGCCATTACGGCACTGCAGAAGCAGTTCGTAACTTTATCGACCACAGTAAACCAACTCGCAGACGACAGAAGGCGCCATGGGCAAGGCGAAAACTGGAATCGCGCCAAATTTAGGTCAAGGTCGAATCCGCAGGACGATAATATCTGCTATTATCACAATCGGTTTGGAGCAAACGCCAGAAGATGCGCCAAACCCTGTGACTACAAAAGGCCGTCAAACTAGAGGCGCCGTCGACGATTGAGGTGGTCCACGACGCAGCGCAAACACAACGCCTCTTCATCACCGACCCAAAATCAGGTACCCGATATTTAATCGACACGGGGGCAGAAGTTTCCGTGTTACCCAAGAGATTGTTCTCAGGCAGACAACATCTCAGCCCAGCTGAGACAACGCTCTTCGCGGCCAACGACAGCGCGATCAGAACCTACGGCCAAAAGCTAATGTTCCTTGATCTCAAGTTGAAACGTCCGTTCAAGTGGGTATTTATAGTGGCAGACGTAGGCAAACCCATCATCGGAGCAGACTTCCTGAGGCATCACAACCTCCTACCTGATCTCCGCAACCGACGCCTCGTAGACGCAGCCACCCTCTTATCAACTCGCAGAACCCTGGCTATATGCAAATCGCCTCAGATCACGACAGTGGCCAAGACGACGCCATATCACGCACTGCTAGCGGATTTCGCAGAAATTACACGCCCACCGCCACCTGGAACGAAGCACAGGGGCAACGTGTTCCACCACATCATCACCAGAGGTCCCCCGGTCGCAGAAGCTCCCCGCAGGCTTGCACCCGAGAAGTTGAGAGTGGCGAAAGCCGAATTCCAATACATGATGGAACAGGGCTGGTGCCGACCATCCAAGAGCCCCTGGGCTAGTCCGCTTCACCTTGTCCCAAAGAAACTCCCTGGTGAATGGCGTCCATGTGGCGACTATAGGCGCCTAAACAACGTGACAGTGTCTGACAGCTACCCCATCCCTCATATACAGGACTTCACCTACAGACTCGAGGGTAAGAGTGTGTTCTCCACCATAGACCTAGTGCGCGCATACCATCAAATTCCCGTGGCTGAAGAAGACATTCCTAAAACAGCCGTGTGCACTCCGTTTGGGCTCTTCGAGTTTACAGTTATGACGTTCGGACTACGTAATGCCGCGCAGACTTTCCAAAGACACCTGAACTCTCTAATAAGTGACCTTGATTTCTGCTATGTGTATATAGACGACATCTTAGTGTTCTCCCGAGATGAAGCAGAGCACGTCGAACATCTAAAAATGTTATTTTCTCGGTTACGGGAGCATCACATAGTGATTAACCTGACCAAGTGCGTGTTTGGTGAAGCCGAAGTGAAATATTTAGGACATACGATTTCCGGGAGTGGAACCAAACCACTTGAGACGTCGGTCAGTGCAATCCGCGAATTCCCCAAACCAAAGACAGTTCAAGATCTGCGACGGTTCCTTGGCATGATCAACTTCTACCGACGTTTCATTCCCCACGCAGCCCAGACCCAAACACCACTTCACCAATATCTGAACAGCGCGCGGAAGAATGACAAAACAATAGTCGAATGGACAGAGGAAGCTGAAGCTGCTTTTGAAACGTGCAAGACAGAGTTAGCCAACGCCGCGCTTCTGGCACATCCCGCCGAAAATCTGCCGCTCAGAATTATCACCGATGCTTCTGATTACGCAATCGGGGGCGTACTAGAGCAGCACTCCAATGGGACCTGGCAACCTTTAGGTTTCTTCTCCAGAAAACTTAGCAAGGAGCAGCGCAACTACAGCGCATACGATCGTGAGCTGCTTGCAGTCTACGAAACCATAAAATTCTTCAGGCACATGGTGGAAGGCAGAGACTTTTGCATACTCACCGACCACAAACCCCTCGTCTACGCGTTTCAGCAGAAAGCAGGCAAAGCATCCCCAAGACAAGTCAGGCAGCTAGATTTCATCGGCCAGTTTTCTACCAACATTATCCACATTTCAGGTGAACAAAACACAGTTGCAGACACACTTTCAAGGGTCAATGAAATCACAATTCCTACGTTCATTGACACCGACGACTTAGCCAAGGAACAAGAAAAAGACGCCGAACTAAAAACACTTTTAAACTCTGATACAACAAGCCTGCAGTTAGAAAAACTCACCCCACAGGCCGGCCAGAAGGCTATCTGGTGTGACACGTCAACGGGGGTGGTCAGACCATACGTTCCACAAGATTCGAGAAAAGTAATTTTTGAAGGATTTCACAACCTCTCACACCCCAGCGGCCGAGCGACCAGTAAGCTCATCAAGAAGCGATTTGTGTGGCCATTTATGGAGAGTCACATAATGAAGTGGGCACGAAGCTGCATCCCTTGCCAGCGATCCAAAGTTGGCCGACACACCAAAGCCCCATTACAGCATTTCGATGACGTCACAGAACGGTTCCAACATGTGCACATCGACATAGTAGGTCCGCTACCTCCCTCTCAAAGCTACAGGTATTGCCTCACTATGTCTGACCGTTTCACCAGGTGGCCAGAGATCGCACCCATGACCGACATGACCGCAGAGACAGTCGCCAAGACATTCTACGAAACATGGATTTCAAGATTCGGTTGCCCAAGACAAATTACAACCGACCAAGGGCGACAATTTGAAGCATCCACCATGAATGCCTTGGCGAAAATTTTGGGCATTCAGCGCTCTCGGACGACGCCATATAGGCCCCAGAGCAACGGCCTTATCGAGAGATGGCATCGAACCATGAAGGCAGCCATCATGTGCCATGAAGCGGAAAGTTGGCTAGACGTTCTACCTACAGTATTATTAGGGTTACGTACAGCCATCAAAGAAGACATCGGACACTCACCAGCAGAGCTGACCTACGGAACGCAACTGAAAGTCCCAGGCGAATTCTTTTTCAGCAATATCGACAGATCCGTAGAACCCACTACTTTTGTAGAAAAACTACGGGACCACATGAGGAAACTTCGCCCAACTCCAGCGTCGCACCACATTAGGCAAAGCACCTTCGTCCACACAGAGCTCAGTAAATGTAGCCATGTTTTCCTAAGAGACGACACCGTGCGAAGACCGCTCCAACAGCCCTACACCAGTCCACACCTTGTTCTGTCTCGTACTGCTAAGATAATAAAGGTCAATGTAGGCGGTAGGGAAACAACAGTGAATATCGACAGAGTAAAACCCGCTTTTATTCTCCAAGAACCAGAACCACCACCGGCTCCATCCCCAGTACGAACACAGGAAGTTACTCAAACTACCAGGTCAGGCCGCAGGTCAACACTCCCCGCACGTTTCAGAGAATGACAACTGACAGCCGTTTTGACAGCTGTCACCCGTTACTTGGGGGGGGGTATGTGGCGTTGCTGTGATGTTGATGTAGGCAACACAACGCACACGTACTACTTCCTCTCGCCTACGAGTAGGCAACTCAATATGCTCACCGAACACCACTCGTGATTGGTGAACCTGGCGCCGACGCAGAGACCAACTGGGGACACAAGGAGGCGCGAGTACGGCAAGTACTCTCTTCTGCCGCCGACATCGAAACGAAGAAGACTGGCATCGTCTCCTGTTCCACGTGTAAGATATTCGAATGTGTAAATAAACTATAGAGAAACCCTACCTGGTGTTAGTCATTTCCACAAACTGAACCGAATCTCAACCTCCGATATAACCTCACATATCACTGATAAATTGACATTTGACAGCGGTTACAGTTGCCAGAAGAGCGTTTCAGGCACGGTTTCCAAGGCAATGTGACGTCACGTGGTTGGTGCACAAAGCAAACGAAAATTCATCCACTGGAGTAGCATACCATGTCTTCTTGTACCATGGCTCACACTAGTCATTTAATCAATGCACCAGTTCACCCGAATTTGTCGGAGAACATTTAGCAGGCATAGTTGTCCAAGACGGACTTCGTTTTATGGTACTGTAATCTCAATTACCGCAAGTGTTAGGAACTCTATTGAAAATGTAAATAACCGTGCCATAAATCATCTTAAGGATTTACGGAAGCGTACGGCCCTGTGTAGTGGTAGACAGTTGGTCTCTCGATGGTTTATGATCGCTGGATTACTTGCGGCAGAGACTTATTGTGGAACACTTAACTCCTTCACAATAAGATGGAGTCGTAAAAACGAACAAGCACTTGGAACACTATAGTTGTACACAAAAAATAATGCTCATTTTCAACGATGCAACGATGGTCCCTGTCCGCACCTGGATTATTCTGCTTTCTAACATCTGGGGATTACCGGCACGCGACAACTTTAAGTTGTAAATATAGCCTGGCTACCGATGTTTGGAGGTGACTTCATTAATCTCTAATCGTCTTAAGGGTTTTTACCAGCGGGATAAGCCCACTGCAATAAACGGTCGTGTAGGTAAGCAGAGAAAAATGTTGTGCCTCGGTGGGATTCGAACCCCACGCCTCTTACTCTCCGGGCAAGTATCCTAACCACTAGACCACGAGGCCACTTATCTTTCTCTGCTTACCGACGTGTTATTGTGCCGCCACAGGTCGGATACATCAATGTCTCTTTACCTGCGACAGAATCGGTGCCGTACGCGAAAAATTCGTAAACTTCTTTAAACACAGTCTTAATCCACACATTTACAACGTAATAATTGAGGTAAACAATAAATCGTCCTAAGCGCATTACCCGCATTGAAGTCATCTCCAAATATCAGTAGCCAGACTTTATCTCATACCTTGTAAAACTTTTATAACTTAAGCGGCTTAAGCCCAAAGCACCTTTATAAATGAAACTGGCTATTGTATGTATAACTTAACTTAGTTCACATATTATACCTAGTAAAACTTTACAGCTCCATTATGGCAACACTGAACAGTAATAATCCTTGCGGTTTGGGTCCATAAAGCTTACAATAGCCAGTTTGACTTATGGGTGGTTTGACTTAAGCCGTTTAAGTCATAAAAGTTTTACAAGGTGTATGACAAGTGAGTTTCGTATACTGTCCGCCTCGTTATTGCCAAAAAGATTTTATAGGGTAGAATAAAATTTCCAAAACTATACACAATCTCTAGTTTTCAACATTTTACCTAAACTGAATGGATGGCAATGTACACACTATTATGGTATCGTGCTGACAGTTTTTTTTGGTAGTCAGAGAAAACAAAAACAACATGTAATTCAGCAATTAAAGAAACATGAAGCGAGTAGCGTTAATGGTTCTAGACCCTGCCTCAACTGAATCTTTGCACTACCACAGTTATATGGTGAGATTACTTAAACGGAAAGGGTCGATACTTCCTACCTGCGGTACTTCTCCTGCAGCTTCTACCTGCATTTCCATTATTAACAGCCTTCTTCATTTATAAAATTGAGAAGTTAGCAGTTGCACTTTACAGTTTATCTACCGCGAGATCGAAAAAGAAATTAGTCAAAGTTGGCCATGCACGACAACCGTCGAAGAACAGTTCCTCCTGTGGTATTATCTCCATGGATTTTTTAAATTCATTTTTCAAAATCAAATTATCCAAATGCGATTTCGCGTCGCTGTTTTTTTTTAGCGCGAACTTTTAATTCAAACTTTGGCACCACAGTTTTAGCACAAAAGTAGGTTAGTAAGTAATGTTATTTGAGATCTTATCATACGACTAAACAGTTGATCAAAATTGTAGTATTTAACAGTGCCGAAACTAGCTATAGGCCGAGTAGGCCCTTGCCTAGGGGCGCCAATGACAAGGGGCGCCAAATTCGTCCAAAAATTATGTTGTATAATTTTGAAAATTTCATTGTGCCCTATAAACTTTTATTGGAAATAACGAGATGGACAGAGGTACAATAGCAAGAGATATTTACAACTTAAGTTGTCGCGAGCCGATAATCCCCAGATGTTAGAAACCAGAATAATCCCAAGTCCGGGCAGGGACCATCGTTATTCGTTACTCATGAACAGAAATGACCATTATTTTATGAGTACAACTACCTGGCAAATGTTCTCAGACAAATTCGAGTGAACTGGTGTGAGCCATAAATATTCCTTACCATTGTACTACTGTCCGTCTCGTTATCGTCAATAAAATTTTATAAGGTGTTATATTAATATTTATAATTTTATAAGAGTTATGTGATATTATTCTTTTTTTATTTTGAACGGAAACTCAGAAAGGTGTAACCGGTGCGACAGGTTTTTAATGTTAATTTTTTTGAACTTATATAAAATGTATACATATTATATACCTATATGTATAATTTCGATTTTTTTTCTTTTTATATTTTATCATAGTATCTGTTTTGCGTAGTTATTAAAAAATATAAATAAAACTGTTTGGTAAAATTGCCTTTTTATGTGTAGAGGAGGGGCGCCTAACGCAAGTTTCGCCTATACCTAAATATTCTTTGGTTTCGGCACTGGTATTTAATAGTAACCATCTCCTGCCTTTAAATTTTGGATTTTAAATAAAAAGCTACCATTTCTTCCAAAAGTTGACATTGGTAGTTTTCTAGAAGGTGTTAAACCTTTGATGTGGCTTTTTTTGAATCGTCTTAAATTATTTGATGTGCGATTAGCACGATTGAATATTGTCTACAAAATATACTAAGTACGGTACTGTCCCGTTCTATATTTGTCGTTAGCCAACGAGAGTTACTCCCTCCATCGTAGAATTATCCTGCGGAAGATCATTGGCGTTCTAATGTATACAATAAAATTAAATTACCCGTTTGTACTAACCATGAATTTTTAAATATAAGGCATGGTTAGTTTCGTTTTAATTTTAAGAGTTTTATGGTTATAATGAGATATTTATATTAGCAATTTGTAACTGACTATTTCTGATAAAATTATAATGCACGCCACTGACACATTTCATTCTTCTGCGTGTTCCAACTGGTTTGTCCAATTGAGTATTTTCCCGCTAAATTTGTGTTTATACCGGTATGTGGCTCTAACCATCATATAAAAGGGTTTGCTAATTCGGGGTGTTTCCACTCGTTTTGGTTTACCGCGTTTATGTATGAGGTTCAGAATACACCTGTGAATAGTGCAGAATAATTCACTGTGTTAATTATATTTGTAAAGTTGAAAAACATACATTCATTAGGTAAGGTTTTGCTGCAATCTTGTGCAATTTTTATTTAGTTTTATTATACGTTCTAGCACCAAAATGCCGCTCGCCAATAAAGAAAACATCCCAAATTCAATCACAGAAAACGGGAATAAATATATCCTCACCAACAACAAAAGCAACATTATAAAGAACGAGCTAAACGAAAACGAAGGCCCCAGAATCCAAGATGGAGACAACATGGATTTTGACCCAGAATTGGAACCCCTGCTGAGAGAGAACCCCCAACGTTTCGTTATCTTCCCAATTCAGTATCCAGACATCTGGGCCAAGTACAAACAAGCAGAAGCCTCATTCTGGGCAACCGAGGAAGTGGACTTGTCCAAAGACTTAGATGACTGGAAAAACAAACTCAATGACGACGAACGTTATTTCATCTCTCACGTGCTGGCATTCTTTGCAGCTTCAGATGGTATAGTTAATGAAAACCTCGTGGAAAGATTCAGTCAGGAAGTACAGGTAACTGAAGCCCGTTGCTTTTATGGTTTTCAAATTGCCATAGAAAACATCCACTCAGAAATGTACAGTTTGCTGATTGAGACTTACATTTCTGATCCTGATGAAAAAGACTTCTTGTTTAATGCAATCAGAACCCTGCCTTGTGTCAAGAAGAAGGCTGATTGGGCCCTTTCGTGGATCAGTAGTCAAAATGCTACTTTTGGGGAACGAGTGGTCGCTTTTGCTGCCGTCGAAGGAATCTTCTTTTCAGGGAGCTTTGCATCAATTTTCTGGCTGAAGAAACGCGGATTGATGCCAGGGCTTACATTTTCCAATGAGTTAATTTCAAGGGATGAGGGTTTACATTGTGACTTTGCTTGTTTGATGTTTTCACATTTGGTTCAGAAACCCTCAAAGGAACGCATTAAGAGTATTATTCAGGATTCTGTTAAAATAGAGAAAGAATTTTTAAGTGAGGCTTTACCTGTCAGTATGATTGGGATGAATTGTCAACTGATGTGTCAGTACATTGAGTTTGTTGCTGATAGGTTGCTGGGTGAATTGGGTTGTGAGAAAATCTACAATACCGCAAATCCATTTGATTTTATGACCATGATTTCAATGGAGGGGAAGACAAACTTTTTTGAAAAGAAAGTTGGTGAATACCAGAAGTGTGGGGTCACAGTTAGTGGGGCCGAAGAATTTGACAGAAATGTTGATTTTTGAAGTATTTAATTCTCAGATTGTATTTTTATAATTTAGTTTTATCTAGTATTTACTTAATTATTTTATTTAGATTACGCAGGTTACACCAAAAAATCGTAAAATGCGCACCAAAGTGTAGTTTTTTTAATAATTAAAAATTATTTAAATATTTAAACATGTTTTTTATTGGAGAGGTCAGAAGAGGTTTAGATCTAAATATGCTTGGAATAAACTTGCTCAGTTTATTGTTTAAAGCGTACATACTATTTTAGGGTTCTGTTATGTAATAAATGTCTTAATGTTATGTACCAGTTAGGTATCAGAAAATATTAAAACAAGTTTCAAGGGAACTAGTGGCCCTTGTGAAATAGTAGATTTTAGATATATGCTTCAGATTTAAGAAATAGAAATGTTTGTTTCTGTTCTTAATGCTTTTGACATTTGAACGAGACAAAGAAAAGAACAGGGACTGTTGTAAGACAGTACATTAAAGTACGCAAAATTACGTTATACATATATGAAATTATTATTGTACATAATTTAATCCTCAATAAAGGGGAAAAAGTAACGACGCATTTAATGCTTGTACAATTTGCATTGTAGATGACTCCGAAAACAATGAATAATTGAATAAAATAAAATAAGTTTGTCTATAAGTTGAGATGCTATAATCAATTTTATATACGTTATGCAACCAGTTATACAGTTCCCACTGTTCACCGGATCATTAGGAAGTGTCGATTCATCCATTTCGATAAAAGATTTGTTCATCACCCCTGTAGTGTGGAGGAATGGTTAGATAAAAAGAGGAAAATCGTTAAGAGACATTTCTGAAGTTTTTGAACGAATTTCTTGAAGTCACAACTAAAATGATGAATTTCGTAGTAAGATTTATTTTTAAAAATATAAGAATACAGGTTTGGAACCTAAATCTAAAATGAACAAGAAAACACACTATTCTAAGCGCTACACATGTCACAGGCACCAGGATTTTGTAAAGAACATATCAGTGCCGCCTCTTCTTCTTCCTTTGTTCTTTTGTTTTTACCTTTAATTCCATTGCTCACTCCATTTTCGTGAGAAAGTACCACAGTGGTTTTATCAACCTTTGACTGAGCAGAGTTGGCCGTTGAGTTTGTCTTCAGGAGATGCATTCCAGTTTTCAAACCCTTCTCCCACCCATAGAAATGCATAGAGTTCATAACTTGGTAATTAGGTATAGGAATGTGGATGTTCATAGACTGACTTTGATCAATAAAAGCACCTCTGTCGGCCGCCATGTTAATCACAACTTTTTGAGATAACTCCCATACGGTTTTGTAAATTGCTTTTAAATCATCAGGAATTGCTGCAATATTTTGAATAGATCCGTTACTGGCGATAATTTGCTCTTTGATTGTGCCGCTCCAAAGGTTTTTCTCTGATAGGTCTTTCAGTAAATGCTGGTTTACAACTTGAAATTCTCCAGAAGTAACACGTCTAGCGTAAATATAAGAAGCATAAGGTTCAGTGGATTTGTTATTACCGAGAATATGAGCAGTTTGTGTGGTTGGCATCACAGCTGTTAATAGTGAATTTCTAACTCCATGTTTGGCAATCCTTTGTTTTAAAGCCACCCAGTCCCATAAACTGGTAGGCTCAACGTTCCACATATCATACTGAAGAATTCCTTTGCTTATTGGCGACTCTTTATAAGTAGAGTAGGTGCCGTCTTTTTCAGCCATTTCAGAACTAGCTTCCAATGCGGCATAGTAAATAGTTTCAAAGATTTGAACATTCAACAAACGAGCTTTTTCACTATCATACGGCATACGTAAAAGTATGAAAGTGTCTGCTAAACCTTGAACACCGATTCCTATTGGTCGATGACGCAAATTCGATTCTTTGGCTTGAGGAAGAGGGTAGAAACTGACGTCGATAATTTTGTTGAGATTCTTTGCCACCGCTTTTACTACTTGTTTTAGTTTTTCAAAATCGTATTCATTTCGTTCATTATTGACGAACATGTTCACTGCAATGGAAGCCATAGCGCAAACGGCGATTTCTTCCGGTGATGTGTACTGAATTATTTCTGTGCATAAACCTCCACCTTTGATGGTACCTAAATTCTGTTGGTTACTTTTTTTGTTACAAGCGTCTTTGTATAGTATGTATGGTGTTCCAGTTTCCATTTGAGATATACAGATGGCACGCCAAACATCTCGCGCTGGAATTTGTTGAATAAAGTTACCTTCAGCTTCATATTTCTCATACAGTTTCTCAAATTCTTCGCCCCAGCAATCAGGCAGACCTTGTGATTGATGCGGGCACATCAAAGACCACATTTTATTTTCTTTCACACGTTGCATGAATACATCTGGAACCCACAAGGCGTACATCAAATCTCTAGCTCTGTATTCATCCATTCCTGTTGCTTTTTTCAGGCTTAAAAACTCCATAATATCGGCATGCCAAGGCTCTAGATAAATGGCTTGCGATTCTGAAGACTCAGTTTGGCTAACATAACACGCCGAATTATTGAAAACTCTTAACATGGGTATGAGCCCATTGGACACTCCATTAGTACCAGCTATTTCAGTTCCTCTGGCTCTAATATTCTGAATGTTAACTCCAACTCCGCCACCACTATTGCCAATGATGGCGCATTGCATAATGCAGTCGTAAATCCCGTCTAGACTGTCGTCTGGCATAGCAATTGAATATGAAGAACACAGATCTGGTTCAGGAGTGGCAGCGGAAAGAAGAGTGGCTTTAGCATGGATGAAATATCTTTCAGACATATAGTTGTAGGTTTCAACAGCACTCTCTAAATCTTCACCATGGATGCCAATCGCCACTCGCATTAACATATGCTGGGGGCGTTCTGCGGTTTTTCCGTTAATTTTTAATAAGCAAGTGCGTTCCAAAATTTTAAATGCAAAATAATCATAGGAAAAATCTCGATCATAAATGATGCAAGAATTTAGACGGTTGGCGTTTTTCATTATGATGGCGTGATGTTCGTCAGATATAAGAGGTGTTTTTTGGCCGGTTTTGGTGTTGACAGCCTTGTGAAGATCATCAATTACATCTGTTAATAAATGTTTTAAAATTAATTGACCCATTTAATTTTAGTAAATCCTAAATCTTTCATTTTCAAAAAAAATACATTTGTCAGACATTAATGAATTAGGCAACCAACAATACAGAAGAAACTCAATAATGATTAGAATTTAAACACCAACAATGATTGTTTTCGACACTTTTGCGATACCCTCATAGTGTGCAAATGGAATAACTTACCACTAAATTGTTTTTTAGTCTCCTTATGGAGATTCGATACAGCAATCCGTGCTGCAAGTATCGCATAATCAGGATGTTGAGTGGTCATCATTGCTGCAGTTTCCGCAGCTAAAGTATCTAATTCTACAGTTGTAACTCCCGGATATAAGCCATTTACAACTTTCAATGTAATGGAAACCTACAGTGTAATTAGTTACATTCAATAGGTTAATCGCAATTAGGTTATAAAAATTACTTACAGGATCCAAATAGTCCATGTTTAAGCCGTAACATAATTTTTGAATACGGAAGGTGATTTTGTCTAGATGAACTTGTTCTGCTCGTCCATCTAACAATGAAAATGACTATTAAATGATATAACCTAAAATTTTCTTTCGCTTACCCCTTTTATAAACGTAGTTCTTGCCTGGTGCATTAACCATTTTGATAATTTAATTCACCCTGCTATTTTAAATCTTACAATAACAATAAAAAAACGATACAATTAAAAACACAAATATAAGGACCAGAACAATGAGAATTTGAGAAAATAACGAACAATTTTTCTCAATAAACGATTTCCCGCCAAAATCAACAGCGAGGCGCCAATGTCATTAACGTCAAATGCGGAGCGGATCTGGTGCCCTCTGGTATTATATAAAGCAAGTCGACATTCTGTGATCATTTAACATCTAGAAGATAGATGACCCTAGGTCCTAAGAAACCAATTTTTGGAAAATTAGTGTTTTTTATTTAAGTTGTATTAGAAAGTAATGAAAACAGTTACAAATATTCATTTTATTTTATGCATTTTTTTAACGACTTTCGTATTTCTTATTTGTTACTTGGATTAGATTAAAAGTTAGTTCTAATAGTTTACAGTAGTTTAAGTCGGATTTATTGAGGAGTGCATTTAAATAAATATCTCTCTTCAGAGTGTACATATTTTTTTTTACAAAGATTTAATTTTTTGCAATATCGAAACAAATATTAATATCCTGCCTAAATTTCAGACCCATTCGTTATGTAACATTTAAATACATGTTTCAACAACTCGTAATATTTATTGTCAGGAATTTAATTTTTTTAAGACGAGTTATAAGTATCAATAAAATTAACAATAATGATGGATTAGTAAAGTGTATGAAATTTATAGTATTTCTAGAAATATTTGGAAATTGAGTTAATCCCTTTTATTGTATGTTGTTGCAATGGATAGATAAATTTTAATTAACGGGTTGCAAATCTTAATGTAGACGGTGTGACGATTTTGGCGATAATTTATTTAATATATATGTAGGTACAAAATATACTCAACTATGTAAAGAATAAATTAAATCAACTCAGTATTTTAAAATTTGTATTATAGAATTTTATAAATGCACTGAATTAATAAAATATTGCTGACATTTTTTTGTACAGCATATATCAAATCTGTTGCCACATATTTGGATTTCGCATTTGTTTTTTTAATTCAAATAAGATTCCTGGAGAAGATTTTCTTCACGATGATTGATGTGACATTTGTTGTTAAAAATTCTCACTGTTATTAATTTTTACATTAATGTAAGACTCAGATCTAAACTGATTAGTACACTTTGGGCTCAAACCTATCTTGCAAAAATAACATTTAACTCTTTTTTATTTTTCAAGTGTTGTTGTTTTCAAAAAAATGTAAAAAATTAACTTTATTAGCTTCACGATTTAATGTTTGTAAACTATTGCAATTTTTCTTAAACAAAATTAATTGACTAACGCTAGTGCAACTTTGTAAAATATGTAATTCCATGAGCCTCAAAAATACATGCTTCATTATTTACGTATAAACGTATTTAGAAAACAAAGCGCAGAAAATGCTTCAAGAAAATAGGAGTATTATTCTACAAAAGCAAATAGGAGTAAAATGTGTCAAAAGTAATACATATTGAACTTTGCAAAATATTTCTTCTCAGTTTTATAATAAAGTAAAAATTCAGATTAATTAAAAAAAATAGGGCTTTTTTTATTACATATTTTGTTTTTTATCAATTATTTCACGTTAATGAAATGATGCATAAATAGAACTCCTTCGTCTTTATTTATTAGCTAAATTCTATTAACATAGTTCATAAATAAAAAAATTATTCGAAGTGTCCCCTTTTAGCTAACTTACTTTCTAAAAGTTATTCTAATGAAAAAATATGAGACAAAAGTGACTGGAATTTAAGAAATTTAAGAAAATTAGGACATGGATACTCGTGTAAGAAAAAGTAGTGTTATTAAATATTAGTTAAAAATACAGATTAACTGAAACAGAATTTTCAAAATTTCAAAGATGTATTTTTCTAAAAGTAATTTTATTATGTGTTACGAAAGAAACCCATACCCCGCCCCGGTACGACGCCTATGGGCCGGTGACGGAGGCCGGAGAAAAACCTGGAAGCGGAAGTCGCGATGGGCAATCCAGAAAGACCTTGACTACGGTACTTCTAGAAGGGAAGTATGGCTTTAATTAGAGGCCATCTTCGGGAACGATTATTTTTCACTTACTTCAGTCCACGAGAGTACAGTCAAGTTGCGCCGGATTTATTTTGTACATAATCGCTGTGTAATCAGTCGTGTAAATTTGAGTTATTGAGAAATAAATGGTTGAGTTTAATAACCCACGCCGATTTTAATTCACCAATCAACGTAACACATGTAAAAGTACGTTTCAAATTTACGAGAAACTAAATTTTACGGTTTACATAATATGTACATAGTTACATAAGATAAATTAAAGTCTCCAAATTTCCTATGAAGACGCCTTTAATAACAATAAATAAGTAAGTACTTTAAATCGTTGCATTTGATTTAAAATTTCCATTGCGTGTATACTAAGATCACTTTAAAAGCATACAGATAATATTTTACTACTTAGTCAAAAAATCCAATCCGCAAAACTATAAATTATGTAGGTACGACCGCCAAAGACCGTCTGCTTGGGGCAGCACAGGAAATTCTGTAGGCACGCGACAGGGTTTATAAGTTTACAAGGACCCTACTGCGAAAAGCCGACTCGGCATTGTCAACCAAATAATCCTAATTATGTCATAAAATTTTATTAGTATACTTTTAAAGTGATCTTAGTATACTAAATTATTTTCCAGGATAAAGAAACTATAACAAGTAAGATGTTGAAGGGAAAACTTCTTTGATTAACATTCATATAATAATTATTACAAAGTTTAACTGGATGCTCGACCACTGATGCTCGGATGAGATCAGAAATGATAATTTTATTTTCATTTCAATTTTAGTTTTGTTTACTGTGTTTAATCTTATTTGGCTTAAAATTACCCAAAGTTTAACATTTGCATGCGTGTTGTGTGACACAAAAAAACATATTTTACCTATGTCATCATAGACATTTCATGTGAAATTTTAAAATTTTGCGTCAAAACTACTGTTAATGTTAAACAAAATAATATTTTTGTTTCTTACCATCATACAACGAAAAGATTGCGTGACCAAAGGACACAGATTATCCTAAATATGTTACATTATTATTTACACAAGGACAAAGATGTTTTGGAATTGAAGAAGAAAGAATGAAAAGAAAATTAGCTTTCGAAATGTTAAAAATTTCGGAAAAATCTACAGTAAACATATCTGTAACATATGAGAAAACACGTACGAAAGGTTGGTATAAAAAGTTATATCTAATGTATTTTGAGTAGGGGTAACACCATGATTATACCTAATGCAGCCACTATAGTATTTCGTTTTAATTTTTTTCCCTTATACATCATTTTCAGGTTTTTGAAGAAAAATTCAAAAGCAGCAAATTTGAAAAAAAGTATCTTAGAAAATACAAAACCGACCGTCCTAAAATCTTGCAAAGCTTTAAGATATATAAATGTGGTAAATCCTTAATTAAAATTTATTTGTTTATGCACTTCAAAAACTTGATGAGGTCAACTCAAAAGTTTGTCAAGTAAATTTATAAAGTGTTTATTAAAAAATCCCAAACTTTACAATTTTCAAAAATCCATATTTTAGTTTTGCAAATGGAATATATTTCTCTATTTTTTGTCCCCATTCTTCTAATATGGCGATGTGTCCCTTAAAAACGTAAACAATCGTTGGAGGAACTAGCAACTTTAAATATAGAAAATATTCAACAAAAAAGAAAGTAAATAAAAAATAAAATAAGATGCAGAAAGAAAATGTAGAAAATTCTGTTTGAAAAAAACGTAAATAATGATATTTGAAAATTGTAATAATTAAAACATTTTTTATAAACACTACGTATATGAAAATTTAATTATATCATTTTCATTTATACCACAACAGAGTTCGTATAACTCAGATTTTAAAAATAACCCTACTGTGATTTTTTGTGAACCTTTCCATTGCCAAAAAAATTCCAGAAAATTGGAATAACGTGACAACGTCGCATCGTAATTTCAAAAATAAACTTGTGTGATTGTAAAGCCTAAGAGGAGGTCAACCAAAATATGTAAAGATATATAGGGTGCTTCATTTAAAAAAAACAAAGTTGTGTATTAAGTCTTAAAAACAAAACATTCTCTATAGTTAAACATTATTTTAGAGTATAGTACTCAAAAAACTGTATAAGTTTGGTCTTTGTTTTTTTTTTCTATATCTAATAATAATCAATGACATATCAAGAAATGTGCGCTTAGTGACTTACCCTGTATATGTAATTTATTAATTGGTCTATTATTTAAGAAGCTGCTCTTGTTTAAGTGACTGTTATCCAGGGGTGAGGGAAGTTCGGTCTAAACAGCTTTAGATCACTTTTTAAAATTATTTAGTGATTTCGGGGAAAAATACGATAACATTACATAAATTAATTTTAATTAAAACATTAGGTAATGAATACCTTTGAAACAAAATTAATTAACGACGTACATATACATATAATTAAATTGTAATCATGATTTATAATTTATAAACAGTTCAAAACTGTATTTGTCTTCAAAAATATAGCACCCAGTAATGGAATTATCGGTTTTAAAATAAATGAATATTGTATGTTTAGTTTTAAGTAAAATTTGTATTAAATATTCCATGTTGTTATGTTACGAGTACATTTATTTTATATTACATTTAGTGAAATATTGTCTTTGCCATTTCTGTTGAAACACCACCTGTTGATTTTGCTTAAAATTTAGCAATTGGTAACAGCTTTCGGTTGACTGACAACGGCTTTTAGTTAGAAAATTGTCTGAATATGAACGTTGCCAAATTTACGATTAACAAGTGGTGTTTCAATAGAAATAGCCTAGACTATAGATGACAAGATTTAACGTGGCACAATAATTTAGTGTTATTTTTTAAGGCTTTCTTGCTGGCGGAGAATACAAAGATTTAATAGTAAATTGTTTCAGTTTAAATTAAGTATAATGGAGAGTGGTGGTGACTCATCGTCACCGACGACCACGCTCGACCAAAGAAAAGCTAGACATGGAAGTCGCGATGGGCACTCCAGAAGAACCTCGATCGCGAAATATCTAGACAGGAGCGGTGGCTGTTTAAATAGGAACCACCGCCGGGAATCGGGAAGTAGAGTTCAGTCAGTGAGAGAACATGAGTCTAGTCAAATCCTATT